TATACCGGACCCCCAAACGCAACTGATCCATAAACAATTAATATTCACACAAACACTTCCTTGTACAGTAAAAAAGTGTAAACGTATTAGTTGAAGAGTATACAAAATGACTTTCATACAAACCAAATTCAACAGATCAAATAATTAATATATCGCCAACTACTACTACCCTACCCCACTTATTGCTCTCATTTACTGACTTTAACACATTAAATGTGTAAGACAATCAACTTTATTTAATTCATTCATTCAAAGCGGAAACCTGGGGTATTGTAACCAGGATGTAATGAAGAAAGTATACGTAGTTTATGAAGGTCGTAAACTACAGAGATATTCATGGCCTTCATGTTTTGCTCATGTTAACAAGTGAAGAAACAACGAGCATGAGAAGAAATATGACACCGTTGAGTTGAGCAATTTGAAAGTTCATACACGGCATATTGCAAACAACTTTGACGTGTCTACGAACAACTTCACAACAATAATTCACCATCATCTATACATCACTCATGTTAAATTTATTTCTGAAAATTTTAAAAATAAATTTGTAAATTTAAATTTACAATATGACGTTTATTTAATATAAAAAATAACGTTAAAAATTAATTTTTAAATTTAAGCTTAATAAGTAAAGTTTATTTAATATAAAAAATAAAGTTGTTTACAAATTTAATAATAATTATTTTACCATAAGAACATTTTTTAAATTTTGACCATATTGTTTATTGCATATCTCATATTTTAATTTTTGTAAATAAATTTTTTCATTTTTTTACCATTTTATATACAACATTTATTTAAGGAGGAAGTCCAATTTATTTAAGCTATAAATTGAAAGAGAATTAACGCCACCCTCGATTCAACGACATCCAATTCCACCTCTGAGTGTATTAAACGATATGAAACAAAATGCAAAAAGGTTGTCTACATGTGAGAGAGAAAATAAGCTAAATGATGTAAAAAGATATAAGAGTCACGTGTGAAGGGTATAAGTTTTATATCATTGTCTCAGAAAAGTAGATTCTCTTAAGAATAATTATGTACTTCAACTACTTAAAGTTATGATATTGATATGAGAAAACAATTTTTTTAATTAAAGTGGAAGTGGAAGCAACATGGAAGTAGGACCAGCATGTTCCATTAATTTGGTTATCTCAATTTTGTACATATTTCTGTCCTATAAAATTTGTAGTTTTTGAAAAAATTAAAGTTTGCATGTGTTAACCATCCTTGTAACATCTCTTGGAATTTGCTGCATATTCACAAATGAAATCAGTTACCATCAAATTACACAAACTAATCCATATCCTTATAAGAATGTGAAACTTACAAGGACATTATTCCACATATCCCTAACCTTCCCCGGCTTCACCATCCGCTCCCAACTTATCTCTTCACTTTCAAACTCAGTGGAATCGTCACTTTCTTCATCACTATATTCACATTACATGCAACACATTCAACTTTAGTTAACAAAACTTATAATAAAACAACCATGAACATATTTTTATAGTTTACTCTTGACAAAGATATTATAACATAGACATTAATGTTTTACCTTGTACTATCTGAGGATATTGATATATGAGAACCAACAAGCGATCCACACTGTTCCCCATCCGCAGATGTACCCTTTCTATAAGATTCAGCATCTTCAGCGACCCGCTTGCCTTTGTCTGTAGCAGAGACAACATTTTCCACTTCCTCATCGTTTTCCCCGGCCTAAGTGGTAGATCTAAAAAAAAGTAAAACATGCAAATAGTTTCATGATCTAACATGTAGAAGGGATAAAATAATGAGCGAACTATCATATTTTAATGGGGTAAAAATGTGTTAAACAAATGTTTGATCTGAAACAGCGAGCCAATACACACATGTTTTTTCTATTCAACATGCAACTCACGAAGTTATTAATCGGTGTATCCCTTTACCGTTTCCTTCAAGAACACGCTGGAAAATTATAAAATGAACAAAATGAGAGGGATTACGACAACCTTACCTGGATCGTTTGCCAACTATGCCATCCATGGTCGTCTTGCCGGCAAACTTAGGAGATGACATTGTGGGAGTTTGGGGAGGACTTATGGAAACAAATATTCTGCTTTAAAAAGGTTCAGAGGCTATTCATGGATGACTTTCATCTTCATCCCATCTATTTTTTCCACTGATACCTCCGTTGATGGTCAACTATGATATGCTTCTAATTTTCTTGATTAAGATAGAGAAAGTTTGTGCCAATTGAGAAGTATATTCTTTATATAGGGAGGTAGTTGGGATGTAATAAATATTTATGGTTACAATTGAAAGAATGGTACACAATATACATTACTTCCAAATATTGTGAAAATCTTATAAAGCAACTACTCAATATGATATTGAAAATACTATATACCCATTTAATAAATATTATTTCAATTGTTTATAAATTATTAAAAAAACATCAGAAACCGGTAGGAAGCATAAACATTGGTGGAACGTGTGTGTGCATGCGTAACCATTCATCTACCAAATAAACTCTTCTTTTATAATAATAAATGAAATACGGCTGAAAATACACCAAGAGTCATTTTTTATCCTAAAGGTTTAAACCACACATGTCATATTAAGGAATAAACATTTATTTTCTTTTAAAATGCATACTTACAAAATCCTTGTGAAAAATAAGGGTTTATTGTTTGTGGTTATCTCCTTCTCAAAAAAGTCAGTCACGATTAGGAACAATGACATCCTCACGAAAACATTTCCATGGTTGGACTACTTTTGGTGATGAGAGAGACATGAGGTATGAACCATTCTTCTAATCATTTTCTATCGTATACTATAATCAACTCTGGTAACTGAGATGCATTTTCTGATGAATCCTCAAATAAAATGGGCTAGGGTTTATTTTTCAAGTCTTTCGGGTTTAGTAATATAGGAACATGTTTTTACTTGTACTGAATCATTCAATTACGTTAAATGAAATGGAAATGTTTTTGAGATCAGGGTTTATTTGGGATGATAGTGGGTAAAGCTATGTGTGAAAAAACGGTAAACATTAGATGTTGTTGTTCTACTAATAACATTTGTTAAGTAATTGAAAATGTTTTTGGTCAACTTTAGTTGCTGATCTGAATTCAGATTTATTACCAACACATGGCTATAAAATTTACGGATTTAAGGTTTAAATGTTAAACATTAGTAATGGATGTTCATATCCATTTTCATTTTTAGAATCCTTTATTCTATACATGACATTATAATTTGATACATACATTTTTGATTTATCAACAATGAAGTCGCAAAGGAAGAAAAACATAAAGCTGTTGGGGAAGCAAGTGACTCAAATGGATCAAAGGAGAAATTAGTCGAGGAATCAATAGCTAAGGAAGGAAGTCGTAAAACTGTTAGGGTAGCGAGGGTCTCTAATAGATCAAAGAAGAAGTTTGCGACTAAGGAAGGAAAACATAAAGTTGTTGGGAGAGCAAGGGTGACAAAGGAAATTATGGTGGACTTGTCAACGGGCGCTCAAAAAATTTACTTGGAAGAGTCACATTAGTAACGCCAAAAGCAGCGTAAACAATGTCATGGTAGGTATACATTTGTATTTGATATAGAATATGTTAATGGCCAAACAATATATAACTTGTTTTGTTATCACTTTTATCTTTATACAACATTTTCCCAAGACAATAGCTAAAAGGTGCCTTCGATTCAAGCAAAAGGAAATCAAAGTGGTGGATGTGGATACAAAAAAAGTTTTCATATGTCAGGTTCATACCGCAGTAAGGAATGATGTCCGAGGAACATACGAAAAGCACATGGCCTTGGGATGGTACAAATTTTCTCAGAGTAAAAAACTTTGTGTTGGTGATACGTTGGTTTGGAGTATGTTGTGCTTTTCTCCATACGTGTATGCGAAGATGGAAAGGAGTTGATGGGTCCGTTTCCTTTGTTTGTTTGACAGTATGCTGAAATTCTATTATGGGATTATTTTGGTCTAAATATTTTGGTCTCAATATTTTGGTTTGAGAATGCCCTTTAATATCCCTAATGGATGCTATTTTGGAACCACTTCTGAAAAAAATCTCTATGTTGTATTAATGTAAATTTAGAACCTTTGGAATCTATATTGTAAACTTGATGCTTTTAATTTAGAATCTTGAACTTCTGTTATTTGGTTTTATTATATATCTCTATGTTGTACATGCAACCTATTGTAATATTCTATAGTGTATTACTATACAACATCACTGCAAAAATGAAAAATAGATGAATTGAACTTTTCATTTTCATTTATCATTGGGTAGGCCCAACTCTCGATCCTGATTAATTAGTACAACAAGTCCATTTTTAGTTTGCATAATGGACTAACTTTGTCAAACGGATTGACATAAATTTAGAGCTGTATAAGTAGTAGAATATAAGTTACGTAATCAAGTTATGCCTTGTTATTCATATGTTGCAACTTGTGTTGAATAACACTCATGGTTACATGTGTGTAGAATTCTCTATGTTGTTATGTGCTAATGAATGTTTTTGATATTAATGTAGGCTTATGCTTTATTTATTGGCTCACCAAAGTGTTCTATTACCTCATTACTTGAATATTTTCTAAATCAATTATTCACAAATGAATAAATTAAAATGTAGTGCATGATTTAAATTTAGGTGTTGAAATCAATAATAATTTGCAGATAATTAAAAAAGAATACATTAATTTGCAGATAATTTGTACGAAAGTATCTGAAACTTTTTAAAGTTATAGGTGCTACTAAAATATTATTAAGAGATCAATAAAATTATAATTAAAGGAACACACAAATAGCCCACTAATCTGTACATTCAAATGGCCCAATTATTATCATTTATAGGGCCCAATGGTGTAGATGTTGATCCAAGAATATGATACACAAAGGATGTAAAATTATAAAGGGTTGAAGACTTAAAGGCAGCACACACAAGTCATCAATCATCTTTACCGAGATATCTTCTGAACTTGTTCCTTCCTAAACCCTAAAATGTCAAGCAACAATCCAGTTACTCCAATTGAAAGGTTTCATCTTCTATGATATTATGTTCTTTCCACAGTTATTGACTCTATTTAATTCTGTGTTATAATTTTTGTAGATACTTTGAAAGTACCATGCAAGTGAAAGATCGTAAGGGGAAAGGGGTTGCTGCAAGTGAAGAGCAACTGGATAGTAAAAGGTATATCATCATCTTATATTATGTTGAAAGTAAATATAGATTTAGGTTTTACAAGTATTAGTAGGTATTTTAGTGTTTATACTGTACACATGGATGTATGAAAAATAAACATGTAATGTTGATGTGGTTAATGTGGAAAGCCGCCCATATTTCTTTGTTTCGAAGAGGAATAATAAATCCGGAAACCCAACCTCAAGAAATGTTTATGTAAGTTCAAAACTTAGCATTCATATATGTATAATTCAATACATGATTTTAATTTGTTATATATTGATATAACTTTTTGTTGATCTGTAGCAAATCCCACAGAATGTTATAAGAGACTTTTTGCAATCAGGTCTAAGTCGTATTCAGGTTGTTGATTCTGATGGTGGAGAAAGGTATGACTGTGAACTTCACCTAGCTGAATGGATATTTTTAGTATGTATCATCTATCATTTTAAGACAAAAGTGGTACAATATCGATACTTGAATTAGATATTAATATTTCGTTAACTAATCAATTTGAAAATGACCATAGTTGGCATGTAAAATATATATTCGATTTACTAAATTGTTGGTTATAGTTATTATGTAAGAACAAGATTTAGTTCTGCAACACTATCTCTGAGTTTTGATGTTAACAACTGTGTATGATGGTATGAAACATTTTGTTGTACTAATGTTTATTATTGTTGAGTACTTAACAAACAAGTTCTACTTCTGATAGATGGCGTGGCCAAGACATTATAAGAGAAATGATTTCTCTTCTACACTACACAAGTTTTATTGAACAATAGCAAGACACTCTAGAAGACTCTGAAGTATAAACCCTGATATTTTTCTGAAGAAACCAGTCAAAAGATCTGAAGACATAAGTTGATACTTATGTCCAGATGCTGAAGACTCAAGCTTCTAAAGACAACATAGTCTAAGGAAACCAGGCAGAAGATCTGAAGACAGAAGTTGTTACTTACGTCCAGATGCTGAAGACTCACGTTTCTAAAAGACAGCATGGTTCAAGAAACAAAGTTAGAAGATCTGAAGACAAATTTTCTACTAAAGTCCAGATGTTAAAAAATTAGTTTCTAAAATACAACTTATTCCAAAGAAGAATGAGTTAAAAGATCTGAAGAAAACGTTTCTAACTGAAGTTCAGATGCTAAAGACTTTGTGTTTCTAATAACAAAGTTCTGAAGTTAAGGATTCTTAAAGAACCAAGTGCTAAAGATTATAAAGACAGAAGGTCTAAAGATTCCAAAGACTTGAAGTTCTAAAGGTCCAAGGTTATCTACAAACAGGTTCTGAAGACCAAGTGTCGAATACTCTAAAGATGCAGTTCTTAAGACTCTGAAGACTTGAAGCTCTTCTGATCTAAAGGTTCTCTACAACGAGTTCTCACAGCCAAGTGCCGAAGACTCTGAAGACGCAGTTCTGAAAACTCTGAAGACTTGAAGTACTGAAGACCTTATGTTATGTTCCCGCTTATAATCTTATACTCGCAGAAGCCTCTGAAGTGTAGAAGGAAAGAATAGAACAGTAATACAATACAATAGTACACAATACGAAAAGCTTTATGCCACCACCTCTCCACTAACTTAAAGTGTAGAAGAGATAAGGACGTCGTAGTATTATTTGTAACGACTCTTTTTCAAATAGTCAACAACTCTATTTTGCTTATCTATATAAGAAAACAATCATATGTTTAAAATAGTTGGTTGGTTGGTGTGTTGGTTGGTTAGCTGGTTGCTTAACACATGATGCTGAAAAAGCTAAACATTGATAAGCTTTCCATAAGATGCTTGGCTGAGTGCTAAAAGCTGCAAGTTGCAAGTCACAAGTTGTTGATGTTCAAAAGAAAAGTTATCATTATTAGATCACAACCAAAACAAAGTTATCGTCCACTATAACAATATGAAGAATTCTACAAGATGTTAATCAAATTACCAATCACATACATCTTGGAGAACCATGAAAAAGCAAGGAGATGTTGTTCGTGTCTTACTTAATGAAGAAATAAGATAAAGATGAAGAATTTTTCAAGATGTAATTCAAATCATCAATCATATACATCTTGACAGAATTATGAAGAAGCAAGGAGTTGTTTCTCACAACTTGCTCAACAAAGAAGATGAAGACAAGAAGACTACAAGATGTTGCACTTATTTTAGATTAGATTCATCTTTGTAAAATATGTAAAACATAAGAGTTTTTGCTCAGATTGTGTTATTTCTTAATATCTTCATGTAAATTGTTTGTACACAAGAGTTGTTGCTCAGAATTGTGTCAAACAATATGTAGTTAAATTAGGAGTAATCTACTTGATAAGAAGCACTCATGTAATCTCCAGAAAAAACATTCTGTTTAGAATTGGTTGGCACCTCAAGTGATCGATTGAAGATCAAAAGACTCGAGAAGACTTTGGCTGCGGTGGCTGCGGCCATCGTAGATGAAATCTTGGTAGTGGATTCTATTAGGTCAATGGTAGTCATATCTCAAAGGGGACTGAATGAAGGTCAACCTTCTGAGTTCACTGATGGATATCATTGGAAGGAAATCCTGATAGGAGATTCTGGAGAATTGAATTCTGTTGGGTCAATGAATATTAAATCCGTTTTGGATCCCTGAATATTTCATTGGATGTTAGTCACCGGCGGTTTCCTGTGCGATTGTAATCAGTTTTGTTATAGTGGATTAAGTCATCGATTGAGTGGGGAGAAATAACCTCAGAAGGGTGGACTGGATGGGCTTGGGGGTTTCTCAAGTGAACCAGGATATGTCGCATGTTCTTTACTTTTGCTTATGCTTTAGAGTTTATGTTTTCCGAACCAAATTAGAAGCATTAATTAGAAGCAACAATCAGAAGAATTGTTCAATGAATAATTCTTAGAATCTAAAGTTGTAAAAGAAAAGGAAAACCCAATTCAAACCCCTTTTTCTTTCATTTTTTTCACACCTTCAATTGGTATCAGAGCCCGGTTCTGTTATTAATGGATATTCAAACACCTAACAGTGTCAGATAAAGATCCAGATGCTTTGTGAAGAAATAATCTAAGGTGATAGTTATTCAATGTCAATCTCAAATTCTGTTAGGATGATGAAAGGAGGGGAGCTTCCTTCTGATGGGAGTATTGTCAATGTCAATCTCAAATTCTGATTCATCATCAGAATCAGAAGTTTCAGGTTCTTTACTTTTCTTGGAGATTGGTTGTCTAGCAGTCTGCACCTGTGCCTTCTTCCCTTTTGTCTGAATTTTCTCAGCCATCCCTTCAGCCTTGGATTTCTTAGCATCAGGTTTAACAGTCTCACTACTCTTTCTTTTCATCAATCTCCTAGCAATGCTAGGGTTCACATTAGCAATCAGTTCATTATCTGAGTAATCTTCATCCACATCAATGATAGGTGGATCAGCAGCCTTTTCAGAGGGATTCTAAATGTTGTCTTTTGGTGTCACAACATCCTCAGTGACATCTATATTTTCAGAACCTTCCACATTTGGACTTTCTGATTGATTCAAAGGGATAGAAATCCCCGGTACAGATTGATTGCCACTCAGAATGCTAGTAACCAGTCTAGCAATAGCTTGGTGTACTTGAACTGATCCTTCTTTATTAGGTATTGAAGGTGAAGGAAGAGAAGAATTACCAGAGACTGTAGCTTGAGCTCTTCCTGCATGTCTGGTCCTGAGCTTTTTGACTCTGGCTGGGTCAGTTGCCATCTCCCTGAGAGGAGTGACCTCAAGAACTTCAGATTCTATGCATGTAGTGATTGCCCTAGAATCTTGATCAGATGACGACGATGATGAGTGAGACGAAGCCGCCATGGTGGAAGACGATGTCTGAGACATTGTGTTTAACGTTGAGTAATAGTAGCAGTTTGAGAAAACTCTTTGATTGGGAGGAGGAAACAGGTTGCAAGGATGAGAGAGGTAGGGAGTACAAGGGAGTCTCTTCAACTTCTTAAGGCTTTTGAAGGAATTGTGAATGAATATGATTAACCCACTAAATATAGACTTAATCCCTTCAACCCTTGTTTTCAGCAAAACTAATTGCTATAATTTATCATGTTGGTGAATACCCAATCTGCCCCTCAAATTTTCAAGTTTATTTCCAACACGCGCCTTGGTAGAAGAATCAGTCAGCTGAAGCTTAGAGAAGCTATGTTCCAGTTCAAATGACTTCTTCTCTTCAAAGTCAATAGGGTTCAAGGAGATGTTGAATGTTTTCAGATTATCACACCACAATGTCACAACATCTTGTGTAACATTGTACTTAGGTAGCATCTGTTTTGACCAGATGTTTTGAGAACAGAATTTATGAGACTTGTTCTTTCCAACATCCTTGTCAAGATGACTTAAGGTTCTGGAAACACATTCTTTTTCAAGTTTATTTGCCACATCACATATATTATCATCCTGTAGTTTTGGAGTTCTTCTGACAGCTTCCATAGGAATAGCTCTTTTTATTCTTCCAAGCTTATGCTGCCACTGTTTCATCTCTTTTTCTTCTTTGATGATTTGACTCATAGTGGAGATATCAGTGTTCTCAGGCTGCCACACATAACAGTTATCTTTGGATTTGATTCCTCTCATTACAACATCTAGTTTTTCATTAAATACTAGACATTCAGATCTTGAGAAGTTGACCATGAATCCTAGATCACACAATTGACTGATGCTAATGAGATTAGTAGTCAATCCTTTTACCAGCAGTACCTTATTCAGACTTGGAACTCCAGGGTAGTCCAAATTAACAACTCCTTTGACTTCTCCTTTAGCACCATCTCCAAAGGTCACAAAACCGGTGGTGTGAGGCATAACATTATTGAGGAGATTTTTGAATCCAGTCATGTGTCTGGAACATCCACTGTCAAAGTACCAATCTTCCTTTGCAGAGATCTTCAGGGAAGTGTGAGCTATCAGTTCAGTAGCCTTTTTCTTCCATTGAGGAGTGTGTGGTACCCTTTTCGACTTAGGTTTGACATCTGAGTTCTGATTCGGATATCCATGTAATCTGAAGCAGAAGGGCTTTATGTGACCATATTTCCCACAATGATGACATCTCCATCTTTGGTACTTCTTCTTCATATGTCTCTGTCCCTGATGTTGAGAGTAATGTTGAGACATCCGTTTTGACATTTGCTTCCCGGTAACAAATTTCTTTGTTTCCACAAATCCTAGGCCAGATTTATTTCCCATATTTTGTCCAGCCTGAAGGATCTCTTCCAATTTGTCTGTTCCATTGGTCAACATCTTGACAGATTTGGTCATTTGATTCAGTTGTGAGTTCAGCAGTTGAACTTCTCCTTCTAAATGACTTATAGTTTCAAGATTTGCCCTCTTTTCAGCCTCCAGCTTTACAATGAGTTTTGATTGTTTCTCATTTTGCACACAGACTTCACCACTTCTGATACACAATTTCTTGTAGGTATCAGCCAGTTCTTCAAATGTCACTTCTTCATCACTGGTGTCACTTTCAGAAGTACAAACACTAGTTAGGGCAGTAACTAGTTTGGCAGATTCTTCTTCAGAATTGCTTTCTGAATCATAGTCAGACCAGGTAACAGTCATTCCTTTCTTTTGCTTCTTAAGAAAGGTAGGACATTCAGCTAGAATATGTCCATATCCTTCACATCCATGGCATTGAATACCTCTGCCTTGGTTTCCCTTATCTTCTGACCTTGGTCTTCTGCTGTCAATGTCAGAAGGAATGTTATGAACATTAGACTTTGACTTTGGGTCCATTCTTTTGATGAGCCTGTTGAACTGTCTTCCAAGCATGGCAATGGCTTCTGATATGTT